AGCGCACACATTCAAAATGGTGAAAGCCATCAGATGCCCAAATACGCATGTGATTTAGAGACAGAAAGCCAGGAAAGTCACAAAGCGTCCAGAGTAATCTGCCCTGGGGGTCAGGGCACAGGGCTCTGCGCTTTCTCGCTGTGAGCTTTGCCATGTTGTTGCCTTGTCAGGGGCCACGTGAAGTATTTGAGCACCACATGGACACAATCACAGCCCTTTTCAGAACACTCTTCAAAATCAAAAACAGAAGAATTCGTTTCAAAGCACATTTTGATCCCGATTAATTTAAAACAAACCTGTGCATAACACCCCGTCATTGTGTAGGGAGAGCTTGTTGGAAAATCACGTTGGATCCTTTAAGAGATCCACAGAACTGGGACGGCAAACTGGACCCTGAGGGTGACCTGTGGGGTCAGGAGGTGACGGCCAGGCTCCTAAATGTGATTTTTTTTAAAAACACAGGTTCTATTAAAGGGCACCGGGACTCTAAAACAAGGCAGCCTGGAGGCAGAGAGGCTGTCCTGAAACTTCCATGGGCCCAGTAGCGCTTCCATTTGGGAAAATAACAGGCCCTGGGTTAGATACAGCTCCAAGGATCAGAAGCAACCAAAAGCACTCAGCTCAAGCTGGATCAGACAATAAAGGGGATCTCTTCTCCCCTACAATGCTCAGAGGGGCCAGGCGTGGTGGCGATGCACACCTGTACTTCCAGCACTCTGGGAGGCTGAGGCAGGAGGATTGTAAATTCAGCCCAGCCTGGCTTAGAGGTTAGCAAGAATTCATCTTAAAAATGAAAAAGACCTGGGGCTGCAGCTCAGCGTGAAGGCTTTGGGGCGTTCACATGCCTCTCTCCTTCCTGCAGGGCTCAGTGGACTCATCCACGTCCTGGGGACACTGGGCCATTGGCCCACACTCCTGGCACAGCCTCAACGCCTGCTTGGACCAGGACAGCGCCCAGGCTCTGGACTCTCGGAGCTGCACTGGTGGAGGGGGCAGCCACCATGTGCCCAAGGGATTGGGCCAGGGGACCCGCGAGGGACAGCCAGTGTCCGCCATGCAGCCTGCTGCTGCCTCAGGAGTCTCGCTGTTAGAACATTGTCTGGGGAGACTCCCACGGTTGGCTTTTATTTTTTTAGATAGGGCAGAAAAGCAGTTGAGTTTTTTTACAATTTTATTATTATTTTTTTCTTTTTGGTACTCAGGATTGAACCCAGAGCCTCTGCACTGAACTACAGTCCCAGCCCGTGTTTATTTCTAACTTGACACAGGGTCTCAGTCTCCTAGCTGCCCAGCTGGTCACTAACTTGCCCAGTCCAAATTCATACAGGCCTGCACCACCATGCCCAGCCTTACTCCTTTCTTTTGAAATTCCCCAAGGAGAGGGCCGGGATTTAGCTCACTGGTCCCACTGCCTGCCTCGCAAATGCAAGGTCCCAAGTTGGATCCCCAGTACCAAAAAAAAAAAAAAAACAACCACCCCCAAAACACTGAAATTGCCCATGCAGGCTGGGGTGTGGCTCCATGGGAACATACTTGCTTAGGCATTTGAGAGGTGCTTGGTTAGATTCCCAGCCTGGCAAACAGCCCAAACAATAACAAAACCCCCAAAAGCTGTAGTCTATACTTGTTATAAAAAATTCAAACATAGCCAGGGATGGTGTGGCAAATAATTATTCTGGTAATCCCAGCTTAGGAGGGTGGAAAGTTCAAGCCCAGCCTAGGCAGTTTAGTAACCCTTTGTTTTAAAATAAGAAGGGCTGAGGATGCAGCTTAGTGGTAAAAATGCCCCTGGGATTGATCCCCATACAGGCAGGGCAAAGGGCGTGGCTCAGCACTTCCGGAGTTCAGTCCCGAGAACCAAAGTAACAGTGGAGAGACAAGAAAATGCAGAACAGGAGATTCGGAAGGGCCAGTGGAGTGTTTTTCCGTGAAAAACCACAGGTGGAGCAACATGGTCCCTGTCTTGTGCTAGAAGGAAAATGAGGATGCCGTGCTCTGGTGAAATAGAGGGTTAAGGGTTTTTGACCAATGGGAAGGCCCAACAGTGACCTCAGAGTAACAGGCAAACCCTAAAAAAGCCCCTCGGTCAACTCACCCTGGGGAAATCATGGCAGATCAAGCAGTAATTCGAGCCCTGTGTTACCGTGGAAGACCGTGTGTAATGGTCAGATGTAGGACTGGATTCTCCCAGAGGTTCTACACTGGGCTACTTATTTGCAGTGCTAGGGCTGGAGCTTTCCATGTGCGAGACTATCACTGAGCTATACTCCAGTCCTTATTTATACTTGCAAAAAATAATGCCTGCTCTACCAGTAGTCATGAGGATCAAAACAGGTATAATGCATAAACATTACCAGCTTCATGAGAATGTGAATAAAGTCTGAAGGTTTTTAAAGTTTCCTCAATTCATATTTCAAGTTTTGTCTCTATTTTTGATACCAACTCATATACACCAGGAAGTCTGATGATGTCACACTTAGTTGTAGGTGCAAGCGATAGTGTGAGTAGTGTTACACTCCTGCAGCAGGGCTGCCCGTGTAGACACGGACACCTTTCAAGCCCCCACTTGGTTTCCACAGGAACTGCGACCCTAGTTCCTGGGAAATGAGAACTCTGTCTACAATGTGGGCCTCGCAACTCACCCAGTGAGTGATGGAAAATGTCTCAGTGTAGGAAAAGCCCAGAAGGGTCGCCTGGATCCAACAAATGGAAAAATAAAACCCTGATGTACACGTGTTCAAGAGAAACAACGGGCCACTTGGAGATGCTTGCATTTGTCATTTTTGTTGTTTGCAACTTTTGGTCAATATGTTTGCTGTAAATACCATAGCTAAATCTTTAATGACAATACTTTTTATTTTATTGTTATTTTTTGCAGTACTGGGCATTGAACCCAGTGGCTTCTCACTGAGCTACATCCCCAGCCATTTTTATCTTCTATTTTAAGACAGGGTCTTGTTGAGTTGCTCGGGGGTTTGAAATTGTGATCCTCCTGCTCTGGTCTCCCAAGTGCTGGGATTTACAGGTGTGCACTACCACACCCTGCTTGACAAGGTCCCTTGTTTAGGCTAAATTGTGGCCACAGGAGAACCTTAGTGCTTTTAATTCTATAATTAGTAATATTATGTACATTAATCATATCACCTTAACCATAGGAATTAACGATGCTAAACAATCCTAAATATGGTACTAATTAACAATGTTGTTCTGTGTATGAATTGCATTTATCACTGATCAATGCTTTACAAAATATTGTTGACATTTTAGACTAAATGGGCTAACACACATTAGGGTTTTAGACTTGGAAAAGTAGAGAAAAATCTGGGTGTGGTGTTGCACTCTATAATCCCAGTGCTTAGCAGAGCTGACCTGGGAGGGTCACTGTGAATTTCAGGCCAGCCTGAGCTACTTGGTGAGACCCTGACTCAGAAAACCAAAAGAAAAGAAAAGAAAGTAGAAAACAAATAACTAGTGAATAATTTCGTATTGCCCAGTATTTTATTGTATTCTCTTAAATGGGCAAATATTTAACAACTGTTTCCCCAAACACCCACTAAATTGATGAATGCTGTAAAGCAGTTCTGAAAATTTTCACCTATTACAAATATGAAGAATTTACAACCAGAAAGCTGAAACTTGAATTTGTACTGTGGTAGAACTAAGCACAAAGCAAATTCAAGGTATATCTTCTAGTATTTTAGTGACATAGACAGTTTGATCCCAAATGCTCAATTTTTTCCAAAGTTCTCATTAAAAAAATGTGACGAATTCCATAAAGTACCAATGGACCAAAGTTTGTAAGGACAGAATCGTCTGATCTCATAATTATGAAAAAAAGTAGATTTTATAGATTTTCCTTATCAGAGACTGGGTTTATATTATACTGAACATTTTGCAAATAAGATTTATTTACAGTAACACAAACAGTATTGAGACAGGAGATTAGGGCGTGGCAGGGCGGGCTGGGGAAGTGGGTATGACCTTCCTGTGATCACACATCCTGGACACACATGCGCAGAGCAGTTACCAACCCCCGGCACATGGACTTCTCTTGAACTGGAGGTTTTCAATAGGACAGCCCAGACCTGACCTCAGCCTGAGGTGTGGGGTCCCAGCCCCACCTCTCAGGACCTGGTCAGAGAAGTTCTCTGGGGTTTCTCCAGATTTGGATGGCATAGAAGACACAGACACTGAGCAGAGCTCAGCTTGTTATCATGGGTTTCCTCAAAATGGCTCAGCCTTTCTCCTTATCTTGTTTTTCCTTTCACTCGGCCCAAGCTCACTTTGCAGGGCCAGTTTATCCCTCACTCTTCACTTTTACTTTTTCAAATAAACTTTGTCATTGCTTTTGCTCGCTTCATTCAGTTCTTTGTTTGAGGTGAAAGGAACCCTGATTCCAACTCCAGAAAGAGAGGTGAGCAGCCCAGAACCCGCAAATGATTACTTGGTGAGCCCCTTTTAGAAGGAGCTGCACACTAATAGTCTAATTTCTCCCATTTTAGTGCTCGCTTTGGCAGCACATATACTAGAACAATTTCCCCTATTTTACCAAGAGAGGACACGGAAGCTTGAGAGCTTAATGAACTTGTCTAAAAAACCCATGCCCACTAACCTACTCTCCAGTGAAGCTGAGACTGCCAATCCTCTATGGGTTTTCATCTTTTTCACTTTTCAAAATTTTCTTTCTTTTAAAACCTGTTGGTTTTTAATTTTAAAAATAATTTTCATTTTCTAACACAACTTTATATCAAAAAGGGAAAGTGTAATAAGTCAATATCTAGTGTTAAACTGTCCTTTTTCTTCTTCTTCTTATAGAGAAGACAGTGAGTAGTGGTTTGCACCGTGGTACGTGAAAGTATTTGTGTGGTATGAATGGAGTCAGGCTTGCTGATACAGTTTAAATCTTCCTGGATTCGGGTCTGGGAGAAGGAAATACCTCCTAATGACCAATGAAGGAAGCTTGGAGGTGAGTTTTCAAAAATCTTAAATTGAGTTTGTACCTCTGTGTCTCAGCCCTTTAGAGGAAACATATTTCAGATCAAGATGATGAACACGTCTCTTGGGTTCCCAGCTCTTTCTTTGCTCCTGTTCTCTTTATGAGAACAATACTTCTGGGCTAAAGGTTAAAAGAGAGAGAAGACATTGTTGGTGGGAGTGCAGACTAGTGCAACCACTATGGAAATCAATATGGAGATACCTCAAAGAGCTTGGACTGGAGATTCCATTTGACCCAGCCATCCCTCTGTTGGGTATCTTTCCAAGAGAACTAAAAGAATCATATCACAGAGAAGTATGTGCACCCATGTTTATAGCGGCACAGTTTGTAATAGCTAAATCTTGGAAACAACCTATTTGCCCATCCGTTGGAAACTGGATAAAGAAGTTGTGGTTTTTCTATAAAATGGAATATTACTCAGCCATAAAGAGCGAGAGAATAGATTCATTCATAGGAAAATGGATACATATTGAAGATATACTCCTAAGTGAAATAAATAAGTCCCACATGTGTAAATACCAAATAGTTTCCCTGGTGTGAATATTCTGCAACAATGCATAAGATTCTAATAAGATTACTGACATTTAGAAATGGGAGGAAAGGAGCTAAAGGTGTAGGGAAGGTGTGATATGTAGGGGAAGAACAAAAAGGGAAAAGAAAAAAATGTGAGAGAATGAAAAGATGAAAATAAAGTGTTTGTAGATGGGGAGGGGAGGAGGGGGTGAAGGGAGGGCAGAGGTAAGGGGAAAAAATGAGAATCAAGACTTGCCATGTAAAGGTACATGATCCCAACAATGAATGTAACTGTACTGTATCCCTAAATGTACCAATAAACTCAATTAAAAAAAAAAAAAAGAGAGAGAAGAGAGCATGAGCTTTCTAGATACTAGTATTTATTTTTCCAAATTCCATCTGTGTCAGGGTGGCACCTCGGTTCACGAACTTGATTCTTTCCATGACTCTGGTTGCAAACTGAACTGGACGCGCACCGAGTGAAATGCAAGAGTGAGTTTCAGCGTTGACCTAACGGGGAAATTTGACTCAGCTCTCATCCAAATCGATTTCCAACCAGAATCGGGGAAAGCATTAAGTTCGTGAACTGAGGTACCACTGTATTTAGGAATTTTCTGCTAGGGGAGACTTTCAGAAAATTGCTGGAATAGCTGCTTTGATTTTAGGAATTTATCCCCTGACACCTTCAAATTGGCCCAGCGCACTTTCTTCAGGTTCTAATGAATTCTCAGGGTTTGAAGATAAACATTTAGCCAGCGATCTTTGCAAGAGACATTCACCATTCACACTGTCACAATGTCGACATTATTTAAAAAAGAAAAAGTAAACCAAACCACAGAGAAAGTGCTAGTAAGCTGTCACCTCACCTACGTGCTTTTGTGGGTGGGTGGGGCCCCTGTTACACACTTTGGCGCCTATAGGTTTTTCTGCTGTAGAATCCATCTGACAACCACATAGGCAGACTTCTGCCAAGATTAGGAAACAGAGATTTCTTCCTTTCTGGCTTGTGACCCTAACACCCCCTCTGCCACAAAATGTGTGTAGGTTTGAACATGTTTTTCAACATGGGACTTTATTACACCTCTTTTTGTTGGTTGTACTGGGGATCGAACTCAGGACCTTGCACTTGGGAGGCAGGGGCGGGTGCCACTGAGCTAAATCCCCAGCAAGATGGGATTTATGTAAGCAGAAGACAGTGAGCAAAAATAGGCATTATGTAGCTAGGCCCATTTGAGGAGTTATGTGAGGTTAGTAGATGTGAAATTTTCACTAAGTACTCCCGATTTAACAGTTTTAAGAAATTAGTAAAAATTACAAATATTCCTACTCATTATTTGGGATATTTGGAGAGTGAGCAGGTTGATAATTCCTTTGCAACTCTGCTGTATGTGTGACAGGACACTTTAGGTTGGGGACTGAAGAAAGCATCTGCTTCTGTCACACTTGAGGTCACAAATTTTTGCAAGTCGAAAATGTTGGGCACGCCAAAAACATCACGCAGCACACTAGCAAATAAAAGGACAGTGTTATTCTTACAAGGAAAGGTTTGACAAGACAGGAAATAGTTAGGGTCAGAGAAGTTTACTTAATACTGGGGACTTATTTAACCATCTTGAAGCCAAAATACAATGACAGTTCTTTAAAAATAAACAAACAGCTGTTCCACTGAACAAAATCCCAAGATACACTGTTTCTACTGGAACTGATTATTAAATTTTTAGCAAATACAGGACGAGGGCAACTCCAGAGGACCTTCGTGAACTTTCTAGAGATCTTCATTTTGTTTGTTCTCTGCCTTTCACTGAGATAAATGCTTTTAATTTGTGAGGAGAAAGCTGAAACAGAAAGAACTGATCTTAAAATGTTGCAAATGACTTTGTGAAAACACAATTATTTTTTAAAAAGTCACCTTCTCCTAAAAATGGGGAGGGAGGAGGGAGGAAAGGGAAGATGGAAGAGGGGAAAAATCCAGCTGTTCCTTACAATTTTCCATTTTTGTTTAAACACAGCGGGAGGGCGAAGCTGCTGGCTTCTCTTCATCCTTACAAATGCCAGGAGGGATTAAGCAAACCCTCAGCCACCCAGCTCTTAAAGTTATAATCACTGCCCACATCTCATGACTTCTGCCTGCTTTTGCTCAAACATTGCTGTGTCTTGTGCTCTGCCCCTGGGGACTCGCTGGGAGTCGTCGATTGCTATTAGCAGATAAAACTTCTTTTTCTTGTTCAAAGAGCCACCACCTTTGAGAAACAGCAAACATCAAGTGACATCTAGTGGATGCCTGGGTGTTATTTCCTGAGACCCCTGTCTAGCAATATTTTTAGCAGCACAGTGACTTTATAGTATGCGTACCATTTCTCTGTCACTAGAGTCAAACACATCTGATAAAAGTCTACCTGATAAAGAGAAGAAAGTCAGAAAAAGGGGTGACATGGGCCTCTCGGAGCAGTCGTCAGCTGGCCCTTCAGGTCACAAGTTCCCCTGTTTCTCCAGACCTCAGGACCTGTGTAGGGTTCCACTGTTGTCCCAAATCCTCCCACCCTGGAAAAATGCAAGGGAACAATTAATTGTACGAGAGTCCCATCATCAGCTCCGGGAATGATTTCTGGGGTCACCACAAGCTGCTGAAGGACAGAGCTACCCAGCAGTCCCTGCAGACCTAATCGGATCGCAACTGCCTCTCCCGTGGTGACCCTGTGTTTCTGTGTAAAAGCTTGGTCTGCACCCCCCGTCTGCAGCCTGCCCCTGTGAAGGAGACAGAGGGGAAATTCTGCATTGGCAAACTGAAAATGGTGTTTAAATTTAGCATTTTCTTTCCTTTCAAGGAAAGGAAACTTGGACTGTGTTACTGTATCCCAAATGCCAGCTGTCTGGCTGTCCCCAGGTCCCCCCATCTTCTAGTGTCATTCTCCACTTCCACACACACACACACACACACACACACGGCTCTCGTCCCACTTCCTAGCACACCTCTCTCCCCTCTCCCGTCCTGGGCCATCTCAGAGATGCTCAGGGGCTCTGAGCAGGACACCCGGGCCCTGAGCCAAGCTTGATTCTGCGGTCTCTTGTCACCCACTCTGGTCTAAAGGGGAACGTGTTTCTTCCAAACCCCTCAGCCCAAAGCACCCCCAGCGTGAGTTCCGTGATGGACTCCACTGCAGCGTGAATGGCACCGCAGTGGCTCAGCACAGCTTCCGATGCCATCTGTGCTTCTAAATAACTCGTAGGGGCCGTCCGTGGGAGAGCGAGGGTCTGGAAGAAACGAAGCCGGCCCTAGGCTGTAGCTGCTGAAGCCAAGGCATGCGGGGCTCATTCCACCACTCATTCTACTTTTCTACGCACCTGGAATTCTCGTAACATGAATTTAAAAGACAAAATTCTGCTAGGCGTGGTGGCACATGCCTGTAGTCCTAGCGCTCTTGGAGGCTGAGGTAGGAGGATTGCAATTTCAAGCCCAGACTGGACAGTTTGGTGAGAACTTGTCTCGAAATTAAAAAAAAAAAAAAAAAAAAAAAAAAAAAATAATAATAATAAAAAGGGTTGGATGTAGCTCCCTGCGAAGGCACTGGTGAGGAACACGACACAGACTCCTTCCTGGGGGCCCCCGATGCAGGGCAGCCCTTATGGGACCCTTCTCCCAGTGGCTTTATCCCACAGCGTGGGGTTCCCTTTTACACCTGCAGGGTCCCCCACACCCCCGAGCCTCTCCTCCTCCTCCTCCTCAGCCCCTGGGTTCTAGGACTAAACTGTAATATTTAGGTAGCCCATCAGGATGGCTTGCTGAGTCTGTTTTCACCTTAAGAGGACTTTAGATCTAGGTTTTGCAAAAATCTCTTTCCAGATAAAAGCAGTACAGTTAGCAAAGCACCTGACTCAAAACATTTAAAAATGTGAGCACTCTTCCTCGGTTTATATTCTGATTCAAGCATGAACAGCTGGTTCTTCAGGAAGTAGGCTCAGATATCAGGCCAAAGCTGTTCAGAAGATGATAAGCAGGCCAGGTGTGGTTCTGGATGACTGTCATCCCTGCACTCAAGAGGCTGAGGCAGGAGGATCTCTGTGAGGTTAAAGCCAGCCTGAATTATACTGAGATCCTGTCTCAGTGCCCCCCAGAAAAAAAAAAAAAAAAAAAAAAAAAAAAAAAAATAAAAAAAAAGAGAAGAACTGTATGCCTCCAAGTAAGCACAAGAAGGAAGCAAAGGCGATGATTTCTCCTGTCAATAAAAGATGATATAGACATTGTACTGTACCTAACCAAAACTATCTTTAAAATAAATTCCCTCTCTCCAGCTGGCCAAAGCTCTTTCATGACGTCTACTTTAGCTTTAAGAACACCGGCTCTGCCTGGCACGACTCTGACGCCCACCGAGTTAATGTCCAAGCTCTCTCTTCCCCAGGCAGACAGGGATGCAGGGATCTGGGGTGAGGAGCAAAAGCATCTGGGGCTTCCAGTGCCACCTGCCTTAGGAGAGGACACCACGGTCCCGCGCCACTGTCCCCAGACCACGGGAGGCAGTCAGCGCTTACTGCTGGCTCTGAGTGGAAAACACTTCTCCTGCAGGAGCGTCCCCCTCCTGCTCAGCCCCCTGACTCACACAGTTTCCTTC